GACTGGCCACAGCTTCGATATTGTAGGAGCGACCACCGTAGCCCGAGGAACCTCAAAAGCGGACAGACTGACGCCTGAGGCATGGTTATCAGACGCCAACTCTGTCAACAGGCATCTAGACCTGCCCGCGACCCACAGAGTCCTACGCCATTACGTAAGTAAAGGACAAGACACGGGCAAACCGAAGCCAGGATTTGCAGACGAAGGCGGCCCTGCGACGAAACTACCGGAAGAGGGAGCAGGATTACCAGCATCCTCTACCGCGGGGACGAAACAGAACACCAATTGCCGTCAAGCTATGCCGAAATCCACACAGAGGGCCAAGCAGCGAGCGTATAAAATTGATCAGCCGAAGTGCAACACGTACAGCCGCAACTTTAAATTTGCTGATCAATAAAGTCAGTATACGTTTCAAAAAAGGACACCCGGCCCAGCTACCGAAAAAGTCAGCAAACCAACAAATTTATTCCGGTGAGCAAAACATGAACTATGAGAAGGTAGTTTTAGTCTGTGATCCCTTAAGCCCTACGCTTTACTATGGGAAATGTACTGAGGCTGTTGTATACTGAAAAAGGCGAGTCTGTTTCTGTTGTCTAAGTTGTCCTCGTAAAAACTTTCAAACTACACAGTTTTCTGTAACTTGACGTCAAAGTATAACCCATGCAATTTCTTCAGGAGATGGCATGGTTCGACAGGGTTGAGAATCAGGCAGGCATTCTGACGGCTAGACTTGCGACAGAGGTACAAAGCCTCGGGAAGGTAACTGGGACCCAGTTGGGGGTCGTGGTCGAGAGCTTCACTCTTGTGGTCAGTTCTCTTATTATCGCCTTCACATACAACTGGAAGTTGGCGCTTCTCAACATTACCTTCTTCCCCATTGTGGTAATTGGCGGTGCCTTGCAAGTGAGTCTCTTTATTCCCCTTTTCACTGGTTTTGTATATAGCAAAAAGGTTTTCGTCCAATTAACTAAAATTGAGCGGGTCACTGAAACTGATTTATCAGAGAATCGAACTCCCGAAGGTGTAGGTTGACTGTCCATTATGGGAGCATTCGTTGTAGGAGAACTCGAGCAGTGATTCAAGTTTGTTCTCAAAGTAAACGGTCGTGTAGTGTTCGCCTTTTTTTGTTTATTCAATGTCTCATGCCCAGACATTGCGCCACATGCTCGCCAAATGCGTACAGTTACGATCACCCGGGATTCGAACCCACGACCCTGTAATCATGGAGTACAACACTATGCCATTGCTCCTCGGACCCTTTGCTTTTGTCGGTTGCGATTGGGAATATGATAATAATTTGGGGCTCACTGATCTGGTAGAGAAACATGTATGTTCCGCTCGTGCCGTTTCCGTTTTCAGTATTATCTGCAATTCGCTGTGCGATGGCTTTTGAAAGCTCTAAAATGAGTTCCAGGGCAAAAACGGAACATACACGTCCTTTACCAGAGTGGTGAGCGTCCTAATTCCACCATTTTCCGGATCGAACCCGACAAAAGCAGCGAGCTCCAGGTACAATAGCAGAGTTTTCTACTCCGTGACCAAAGTTCCGTGTTCGAATATCGGGTGATGCGCACCTGCGATGGGGTATGACTGGCTGGTGAGTGCTAATAAGCCAGAAATGGCTGCTGCGGTCTCCCTTGCCTTTGTCGGTTCCATTTAATAACAGTTTATGTCTAGGCCGTTTATGTGCGAGAAAACTCGGCGTCTACTCTGTAGGGCCAGTTATCACTCTGACTGAGGGTAATTTGGGCTAAGAAAATAACTTTTGGCTCTTGGCTGTGGTTTTCCATATAATGAATTCACCCACTTCTGAAAGTTAGGTCAGACTTTTCGGCACTCTAGCCTATACATGAGATATTAGCATACGTGGAAGGGATGGCACAGTGTTGTTTTTAGTTGAAACGAAGTAATTTTCATATTGGAATTTTTCAGAAGATAAATTGTCGAACTTACGTTTGTTTTCGATAAACTCTCTTCAGGCCTTTACATTTATATGGTAATGAAATGAATGAACTATCACCTTATCACCTGTCTTGGCCGCCGGTCCGCCTAGACACTGACCTTTTGATCTCAGTTCCCCCCACCGACCCTGACAACAAAAACACTACATCTTTCCACCAACCAGTATAGTTTATTTATTTCATTATCAGATTAATGACAAGACCTGAAGAGAGCTTATCGAAAACAAACGTATTTTTGGCCAATTTATTTTCTGAAATTTTCAATGGGAATTTTCGCGAATTGGCATTTTTGTTTAAAGTGGATGAGTTAGTGTGACTTTTTGACTTAACAAATCACAGTCATCTTTTCCCTACCGCCCGCCTGTGATGGTCAATTGAACTCGAGAAAGAGGAAAGGGTAGGGCTTGAGCAACGTTGGCGTTTCCGGTACGCAGAGAGCATATGAATGTCAGGAGAGAGTTATGGTGGCGTACGATCATCAGGCGAAGTCGGCTTTGGTCCCGGAAGACAGATCACATGCATCACTGCGTCTGAATACACAGCGTCGGTTGTAGTAGCCGTATATGTATTGTCTTGGCAGTCGCTAGCTCCCGTAGGCCTTTAGAGAAGTTTTTTGATGTTCGGTAGATAGCGTTAAAGACTTATTTCGAATCGAATTGATGGTTTGTATCTATTAAATGCGGAAGAATAGAACTAGAAATCGATTTATGTCAACTTCTACCTCATTGGGCGGGTATATGTTCACGTAATGTCCTTTCAGAATGCCTCGTTAAATGGCCAATATAGCCCGCTCCATAGAAGCAAGCGAATGAGCAAATAACCGTCGATGTGTCCCGTGACGGTAGTCAGTATTTACCTCCCAAATGTAAGATTATGAAGAATACGAGTATTCTCTTTATACTAAGATTTTAGCGGGTACATTTCACTCTAGTCGATTTTTGTTGATAGACTCACTTGGCCTATGATAAGTGAAAATCAGCCTGTGTGGTGAGAATCCAATGAGCTGAAGAAAAAACGCGTTTACTTTGCTTATCGAAAGCAGAAGGGATTCAGGATGTACAGTGTGGAAGTTTATGAATATAATTAGAGTGTGAAACCGTTCTTCGCAAGGTGGGGTATGACATTGTCTAATGAATCAGATTCCCGATGCAAAGTTTACATTTTCGGGGCCTTGTAGCAGTCTATAACCATGCCTCGCTGAAATCACGCAACCTAAGTTCGGCCACGGAGACCAATTCTGCCATTTTTGAGTCTAACGTACCTTCGGAGATTAAGTGAAATACTGTTTTACCACGTCTAAGTTCAGACGCTCATTAGATGAACCCGACCAACTTGTGAGTAAGTTTATTCTCCCAAAGCCTGTGCGCATTAATCTGACCAGCAACCTGTTTTAGGCGTCTGGACACAGTTCGATGAAATTGATAAGCCCAATTACCAGAAGCAGACCGTCGTAGTTTTTCTGTCGTTAATTCAATTACTATGGTCTTTCCTCTGAGGGACTTTATAAATCACTTTCAAGGGATTTTGCGGC